CCTCAGCTCTGGAGGCATCTGAAGAGATTCTTGCGGGCACTTTTCAATAATATTTTCCCCAAAGGTGAGTGGGTGCCAGTGTGGGCTCAGGGGATGTCGGCCTGTCCCCTTTCTTCTATCCCTGCCTTGATTCTCAGCCCCTCAGAAACCCAGGCCCTGACCCATCTCGCCTTTCCCCGCAGACAAGCAAGCCAGCTGTGTAGGCAGCCATCGCATGCGCAGGCGCTGCTCCGTGGATCCCAAGAACCTGCGCTCAAGAGTTTCTGCCCGCTTCCGCCATCGCCCAAGCTTCCTGCTCGGGCACCCAAACCACCTTGACTCCCGGATACGATACACAAAAGATGAGAAGGCTTCTAAGTGCCGCTGGACGCCGCCTCAGTGTGGACGGGCTGGGGCTTCCACGGAGGCTCCACGGAGACTGCGGAAGAAGCGGGTAGTGGGAGCTGGGGAGGCCCCTCCGGTCACAGCCTTAAAGTCCCAAGCCAACTTTTACTCCGGGTAAGAGACATCTTCGAAGCTCCGCAGGATGAGCAAGGTGGACGTGGTTCCACTCCGCCTGCCCCAAGAGAGCAAGACTAAGACCCCAGACTCTGACCCAGCCCAGGCCCCAGCCCGGGCCCAGACCCGCCCCCCAGTTCAGCCCCCTGCGCATGCTCCTGCCAAGGCCCAGACCTTCTCCTCAGCCCACCCCACTGAGCACACCCCCCACTTCCGAGACCTGCTCCCGAGGCCACGCCCATGAGCACACTTCCGCCCGGGCCCAGGCCTTCTCCCTAGTGCACCCCACTGGGAACACTCCTGCCAAAGCCCAGAACTTCTCCTCCACCCACCCCTCTGAGCACGCCCCACCTCAGGCCCAGACTTGCTCCACATTCCACTCCCCTGAGCACACCACCCCCCAGGCCCAGAACCCCTCCCCAGCCCTCACCCCTGAGCACAGCCCTGCCCAGGTCCATGGCCCTGAGCATACCTCAGCCCATACCCCAGCCCAGGCCCAAGCCCAGGCCCCCTCACATGCCTCAGCCCAGTCCCTGGGCCACACCTCTGTCTGCACCCTGACCCATGCTCATCTGACCTATACCCATGCCAACACTCTGGTCCTTCCCCCAACTTCTGCACCAGTCCCTCCGCCAACTTCTGCCCCTGCTACTACCCCTGCCCTAGCCCCTACACCAGCCCCTGTCCCGATCTCTGCCACAGCCTCTGTCCCAGCACTGGTCATGGCCCTGACGACCACTCCAGTCCCTTCCACCACCCCTACCCCCATCCTAGATTCTACTCCCTCTACCTTGTCTGCCTTCAGCCAAGGCCTCTCCTCCGGCCGTG